AACTCTCTCTCTAGTTCAAGATTAGCCAGGCATGCTTATGGCATAGGAAATAGAATAGTTGCAACACCTTGTAAGATTTGATATTATCCGCATATAATCGCTATATTTAGTCATCTAGCTTGTATTTTCTTATGTATCCTAGGTTAGATATACAATAAACTTTTCTTATGTTTGTTAAACCTGTTTGCCCATCTTTCTCGGGAAAACGGACACTCTCTTGACTGACCCACGTGTACTCCCCACTCAAAATTTAACTGACACTCCTACTCATCATTTAAGAATTGCGAGTTAGGATGTGATTTAGCATTATCCTAACTAGTGTCAGTTCTCACGTCAGACAGATTTCACAATCCTGTCGACCCTCCCTTGAAAGCCATCCACAGACACCGAGATCGGATCTTACCAACTTGTTGCCGAGTAAGTGGTCACTAGAGATCACCCCCTTGGCCCTCAGCTAATCTCACAATATCTTAAATAAATATTAGCTAAAAGATTTTTAATGAAATCTAAAGGACTATTTTCTATTTATGAGTAGAAGTAAATGGATCCTTTGGTATTGTACAGTACAGTGGTACCTCAGGATACGAACACCCCAGCATAGGAAATTTTCAGGATACAACACAAAATTCGAACATATTTTTGCTCCATGATACGAACAAAAACTCGCCATATGATGTTACATTAGTTCGCAGCACCATTTTTTATTCACTTCTGTTCATCGGTCTCAGTCTGCATGTTTGCTTTGTCATGGAAGGCAGTGATGTAGCGTAGTGGGAGTGGCAGGGGTGGCCCGCCCCAGGCGGCACTTTTAGGGGACGGCAAAATTAGGCAGCAATAAATAATAATAATAATATCTTGTAAAAATTTGAACCATTTCATTTCATATTTTTGTCGCACCTACAATTCGGACCGATTGAAATGAGCATGGAATTTTTCATTACTTATTCAGTGACAAAACTGAATTTTAGTCTTTTAAATTGAGATACCTAAATAAGGGGGCAGTGAAACTTTCCTCCACCCTGGGTGGCTGACACCCACGCTACACCACTAGTGGAAGGATCTCACTCGATAAAGGAAATCTTGAGGTATTATCAGAAAGTGACTGATTTTATTGAAAAGAAACATCCTGAAAAGTTCACAGTGGCCGTATTGTTGCTCAGAGTAATGACATTTGCCTAAGTCATTTTAGAAACATTTTAAAAAGTAGGCAAAGCCAAACAAAAGCCAAAAGCCAAACAAAGCAAAATAAGAAGATTAATTATAAATTGTCTTCTAATTTTAATACAAATAAACTTTCATTAACAAGCAATTTGAATAAATTTACCTAATTATAGAATGTCATCTTTTTTATCATTCATATTTATACTTCAAGCCTATTACATAAAAATTTTGATTAATATAGAATTAATTGATAACACTCATCTTAAGCTAATTTTTCAACATCAGAGTACAATGAGAAGATATATTCTTTTTTCATGCTTCTTGAAATCGGCACGCATTGTAAATGCTTTAATTCCATCTTATTAAATGATGTTCAGCNATATATATATCACTAATATCACTAATTTTCTTTATCTTTTCTAAGTTATTTTTCAGTTATTGTTACATTATGTTATGTAAGTTAAGTTTTAGTATCATTTCCTTCTCTGCCAACAGTTTACACCTCCACTGCCGTCTATCCTCAAAGGTAAAGTGCAAATAAAACTACATTTTTTTAAAATCAGTTATTTTTCTATTATGGTTATTTGTACATTTATAACTACAAAATGCATTTTTCAGTGTTTTCCTTACTATAGTTTTTTTTTTTTTTTAAGTACTACTTAGCTTTAGTTTGAGTGTGTTTTTCTGTGTGTTGGAATGAATTATTTGGTTTTACATGTAATCATATGGGAAAAAATGATTCACCTTATGACAGTTTCATTATACGATCTCAGTTTCGAAATGAATTAATTTCGTATCCTGAGGTACCACTGTACATTTGTCTTTTGCATCAGACTGACACAGTGAATAGTAACAAGACACGTTGTCATGCTTTATGCTAAGAAGACTTCTTAACAACTTGATTTTAAAGCATTTTTGATATTATGAAAAAACTGTCACAGATTACATGCAGCAATCTATAATGTGCATCTTTGAAATAAGAAGATTTTTAACACAATCTTTTGCAAAGACAAATATCAGAATCAGAAATACAAGTTCTGTTAAGGTCTTCATAAATGGTGCTTTGTAATGATAGAATCATGTAAATGTATGTAAAATTATTATATGTTATTAAAAATATTTACTAAAAATAAGAAGATTAATTATAAATTGTCTTCTAATTTTAATACAAATAAAGTTTCATTAACAAGCAATTTGAATAAATTTACCTAATTATAGAATGTCATCTTTTTTAACATTCATATTTATACTTCAAGCCTATTACATAAAAATTTTGATTAATATAGAATTAATTGATAACACTCATCTTAAGCTAATTTTTCAACATCAGAGTACAATGAGAAGATATATTCTTTTTTCATGCTTCTTGAAATTGGCACGCATTGTAAATGCTTTAATTCCATCTTATTAAATGATGTTCAGCAAATGATACAATGAGCTGAACAAATATCATCATCAGAAGTTAATTAATTTTTGAAGTAATTTACTTGAAGCCAGATTTTCTTAAATGTATAATTGTGTGAATGTTTTTTCAAGAAGAAAAATTAGATGTCTAGACTGGCTCACCTTAAAAAATTAATGTTTAAAACTCAAAACAGCAATTGACTTAACATAAGCTGTACCAATCACATTTCAAAATTTAACATATTACAACACCATCTACAAATCATAACAAAAACTTTCATAATTATATGAAAAAGTCATTGTATTATTATAAGTAAACTTAATGAATATTAAAAATAATTTAATATAATATTTTTTCAATTGAAAATACAGAATGTTTATAATTAAAGTTTCACTTTGAAATGGCCATAAAATGAAAACTACTGGACAGAATGTTATAAAACTTGGTAATGGTGTACAGAACGTCATGGGATTTTATTTCCCGCGAAAAAAATATAGTTCAAAAACTCACCATCAACGGGAAATGGCGCTGTCTGCAATATTGTTAAACAAAAAACGACACAAAGACATCGTTGAAAATATTTTTAATCTGTTTTAAAACGCGTTACAGGGCATGTTCAATGTGGTGTCCACCATTTTTGATAAGCAAGTTACATCGAATTACTGTGTTCTCAACAGTAGCTCTTAGCATATCAGTAGTAACCCCACAAACAGTTTCGTTTTAAAACCTTAAGATTAAAAACATTTTCAACGATGTCTTCGTGTCTTATTTCGTTTAACAATATTGCAGACAGCGCCATTTCCCGTTGGTGGTGAGTTTTTGAACTATATTTTTTTCGCGGGAAATAAAATCCCATGACGTTCTGTACACTATTACCAAGTTTTATAACATTTTGTCCAGTAGTTTTCGTTTTATGGCCATTTCAAAGTGAAACTTTAATTATAAACACCCTGTATAATTTTGTTTATATTTTAACCCTCCCTCAATACTTCACTAAGATTCTCAATCATTAGCTGTTACTAATTTGGTAAAATGGTATTACTAATTTTTGTTTGTTTCAAACTATGGACTACTAATGCACCTAAATTCAAGTTTCAAATATTATGGGATTCTGAGATACAATAAGTCTGAGTTTAATTTTTTTTAAATATAAATGACGTTATCTGAAAATAATTAAAGTATAAATACTTACAGAAAAATAGAGTTTCAGTTACTCCAGTACCTCTTTGTAAACCATGTTTGTGGTACTGCCTTTTGGAGCTAAGACTTTTTAAGCTTTAATCCTCTCCCTCTCCCCCCATGGGGGAATTTCAAAAATCCCTTCTTAGTGTGCATTCTCATTGCATACCCTAACTGTGTTCCAAATTTCACCTCTTTAGGTTCAGTGGTTTGCTCTGGGGATGATGAATCAGTCAGTCAAGACATGTAATTTTATATATATAGATTCATTTATTCATGGTATTTACTCTAATGTTGAAAAATTAGCTTGAGATGAATTTTATACAGTAATTCCATGTTAACCAAAGTTTTGAAGGATTAAAAAAAATTACATATATAAAATTTAATCATTCAAAATTTTAATCTTAATAAATAATATACATATAATACAGTAAGACTAATGCCTCATTCTAATCCAGTAAGACCTTGATAATCTGAATTCTGGTAGTCCAAAATTCTGGTTAATCTGAGTGGATAAAAAGAACTGGCTCACTCTCTCTCTCTCTCTGAGCAAAATATGTGGCTGTTACATTTACCACATACCTCTCAAAATATGTAGTAAATATAAATCCTCAAAATAAATTAAAATACATTAAAAATATGTTATCAGAATAGAAAAGGAAGAGACTAGTTGCCTGTCTCCCCTTTCCTCTAACAGCATACACTTATGGAAAAAGGTTGAAATTCCCCCATATATTGTTTGTATGTAAACCTAACTGATGTCAGTCATTCTGATTTAATACAATGGACTCATCCAGTTTCATTATATTGAAAAACCTTACAATAACATAAAATCATTTTGGATAATCTAAAACACTTGTTAATTGAAAAAGGTTTTGGCTTCAATTAGTTTGAATTAGCAAGAAAACCTTGCTAATTCAAACTAAAGTCCCTCTCTATATTATCTCTAAATGAATTCTGTATCAATATAATTTTAAAAAATCAGTATATCAACATCTCGAAACCCAATTTATAGTTAACTCAAATCAAACCTACTGACAAATTAATTAGTTTATAATCATTAACTTAGCCCTATTTAGCCAGAATATTTGATAGAATTGTTTGAATTAAATTTTAAAATATCATAAGTATATCAGTTAAAACTATTTAAATCTGAATTTCCTGTTTACTTCTTTTAAATAACAAAAACAAATTTCATATACAATGACAATAATAGAAACAAAAAAATTTTAAATCATACTTTCTTATTTCTAACCTTTTTTACAGATCCATTTGCAGTTCCAAGAAATGCAACAGTATGCTGTCCAGTTGTTGCTAGAGCAACTGATGTTAATGTGACATTTTGAAATGTTATAGCTGCCAATGCAGTAATAGGAACAGAACCATTCAATTTCACTGTCTCATTGCAAAAATTAAGAACATTTCCAGCTTTCTAAAAAGTAAAAAATTGCACAATGTTATTAAGTAATAAAATGATAAATAATCATGAAATTATAAGTAAAATATTTTATCAAAGAAAAGTTTAGATGTATATGTATCCTGAAAAATGCAAAACAATCTTTCAGTAAAAAATTGGCTTCAAAATATGAAAGTAACTATAGTAGAGCATCGATTATCCGAATCAATTGGAGTCTGGGGTTGATCGGAAAATCGATTTTTCGGATAACCAATTATGTACAAAAAAATATATTAACCTATCCCATGTTGAAATTCGTTCAAATCCTGGCATGTCCTTAAGTACCCTCTCATGGTCATGCCAGTGCTGCCAGCTAAAACACGCACACCAACAAAAATAATATTGGAGTAGCCCAAGACATAGCCAAAGATTACAGTGCCACAGCACTAGTGGAAATTTAAATTTGCCGACTGGAGAGCTTTTGGTTAATTGACGTTTTGGTGGATTGATATTCAGATAATCGATGCTCTACTGTATATAATGAATGCTGTAAGAAGAAATTACATGTTATGGATATTATGGATAGTAATAACCAAGACATAAAGATAGATATAATTCTTAAACAAATAAAAGGATAGTTGTGGATAGGATAGTTAATAGGATATTGTTGAATATGCCATAAAAATATAGAAAAAAATAAAAAGCATGGAGGACAGTAGAATATCCAGGATTTTGAGAATATGGATACTGTTCAAGATAGATTCAGAGGAACCAAGTCATGTGCTCCTGACATTTTTAAAGAATGTTATTCAATTATCTTATAATTACTTTAGTTACCTAACCTTACCTAATTGAAGTCATGTGATATTCTATTTATTATATGTGTGTTATTATACAGTATTTATTTTTATGTGTGTTGTTATATTTATTTTTAAGTAACAAAACTGACTGCTTTGATATCAGTGGGGTGCTGCAGCATGTTTTGTTACTTGCACCAGAAGTACTGTACACCCATGGATATGCTATTGATGGAGAAGAAAGTGCAATATAAAAGAAATACACTTTCATTTTATAATTTATATAAAAAATAAATTAAAAATATGAAAACAAATTTTCAACGTTAACTTTAAAAGTAATTTTATTCCAGATTCAGAAAATTTAATGTCTTTTAGTATAACAATAAAGAACAGGATTATTGAATATAAAAATTAAATTCAAACTTAAAGTTTTAAGTTCAATTACATTCAATGGTGTGCATCAATTCTTAATATTAATTAACTTACCTTGTTATTTCAGGCAAAGAAACCACTACAAGGTATCTTTACCTATAATAACTTCAATAAATCTTAACGTATTCAAAGTGTTATAGAAATTTAAAACCTTTTCATTCTACTATCATAAACATGCAGCAAGAATTATGTTTTTTTAACAAAATCTATCTTATATTATTCATGACTTCATTTATTCTATCTTGTGATATTCAATTCAATTCTTCCTATATAATATTTCTTCTGTTTCTACAGCAAATCTACAGTTTCAGTCTACAAATATCTGGTTTTGTAGATTTATTATAATTTTTTTTTATATTTTAGTTTATCAAAAACAGTTTTTAAGTTTTTAAATTTTTATTCTCTTTTAAAAAAGAGATAACAGTTATTTAATATTTTAATAATACTTTATTTTTAACTTAATAAAAACTGAAGATTTTCATTCATAAATATTATTGAATGATTAAACATATATCTTTATCATAAATTAATATTTTTGATGAATAATTTGTAAATAATATAATAAAATATACAAATTTAAAAAATTATTGTGCTTCTTTTCTTTTAATAATATTTTTTTATATAATTTGTTTATATTCTATAATCATAATAAAAGATTCTTCAAAGAAAATTTAAAATTTTAATTACAAGATCGATTTTGTAAACATATTTCTAAATATATTAGTCCAAAATTCTGGTTAATCTGAGTGGATAAAAAGAACTGGCTCACTCTCTCTCTCTCTCTGAGCAAAATATGTGGCTGTTACATTTACCACATACCTCTCAAAATATGTAGTAAATATAAATCCTCAAAATAAATTAAAATACATTAAAAATATGTTATCAGAATAGAAAAGGAAGAGACTAGTTGCCTGTCTCCCCTTTCCTCTAACAGCATACACTTATGGAAAAAGGTTGAAATTCCCCCATATATTGTTTGTATGTAAACCTAACTGATGTCAGTCATTCTGATTTAATACAATGGACTCATCCAGTTTCATTATATTGAAAAACCTTACAATAACATAAAATCATTTTGGATAATCTAAAACANCCCCTCTGGGCTCTGCATCAGGTTCTTAACCATTCCTAGTTGGTTATTCGATAATGGAATAACATTTAAATAAGAGTTCGATTATAAGTTCAAAAAATTTACAAAAATGTTTTTGTTGTTTTATTATCACACCGTAATTGGTTCACAGTGTGTCATTATAATTTCGTTGTGGTGAGTTGTTATTTCCTCATGAACGGAGTTATATAGATGAAAGCCAAGACCAAATATAGAAATATTAGAGACAGGAAGACCTGATTTACTGTATACAAACTTCTCACATGCAAACTTCTCACATGCAAACTGGAAGGCATGTTGTTTCAATTCAAAAATTCTTCCTTAAAAGGGGAGATAGATGACTGGCATGATTCTATTGCTTGCTAACAGGAAAAGTATGATGTTCAGGGGCAAGACATTATTAATTTGAAGTGGTGAGCATATATTTTAAATTAAATAAATTAAAAATATGATTAAAAATTGCAGCCCTGCATTATGACAATGTCACAATAAATAATTGTTCGTTAAATTGTAATTTCATTTTAATGAAATTTTTGTTTCAACTCATGTATTTTACAAAATTATATCAATGTTCTATCTAGCTATTGACTAATTTTAATATCTATCTAATGTACATTTTTTTGGATTTCCATCCACTGGTCAAAGTTTATATTGTTTATTTTAAAACTGAAAAGTTCTGACAATGGATAGATATTCGAAAACATTTAGATAAATATTAATGTTTAATTAGCAATTCAGTAAAGCATTGATATGGTAATTTATTCTATTGTAAATGTTACTGAAGAAATTTTAAAAGAATTGTAAACTACTTGAATCCTGTTATTTTTGTGTTTATTGCTTGGTATATTTTAATGTTAAGAGATAATATATTAATATTATCCTTTCTCAAATTGCTTTTAAAAATCCCTTATTTTCAATAGATCAATTCTTTTTAGATCATTATTACATAATTTTAATACAGTAGTATAGTTATATAGAAAATATATAATCATCATCATAAAGTTTTGGATTCAGATCATTAAAAAAAATCAAACTTAAAAGTGATTAGATTTTTTTGTACAACCAGGCTGAACAAATATATTTAATAAGACAAAGTTATTTTATTTGTAGAAAAACACACTTGAAATTTCAAAGCTAGGTAATATATTTTCTAATGTTACATTTTAAATTATGAGTGAGTTAAGTAATATTTTTAACTTAATTTATTATGAATTTATAAAATTATATTAAAATTTCCAAATTTTTTAGTAAATATTTTAGAAATTTGCTGTAATTATTTTAGAAATTAAATTATAGTAGAAAGTCTCATTATAGAAATTATAATCATTCAGAGTAATCTTTCATTAAATAAACAATGACTATATTAACATCAAATCATCAATCATTGGTCATCAGGGAATAAAAACATTCAGATATTCAGAATAAATTTATTTACATAATAGAATTTCTAAGCATTTATCAGTTTGAATATATTAACACAATAAACAATATAAAATGAAATAACAATATTAAGAATAAAATAAAAGCACTTGTTCAGAAAAAAATTCTTGCAGTGAAAATAACAAATCAGAAAGTTCATAAAACACATTCACTGGAAGCAAATAAAAAAGTTTACACTGTAAATGCCAATTGCTGTTCATCTGGGTTTTGAATTTGACTAAATATGATATATTGTAATTTGACAGTATGTTGATTAGTTATTTATGTAATGAATAATCAGCGTATTTCTTTGTATTGTGACACATGATTGCTTTCAAAATTTTTTAAAAGTTACAAACAAAATATTTTTTAGATGATAATGTCTATTTCAATAAACAGTATTTTAAATTGCACATTTTGCTCTACACTTTTCAATGTTCAAGTATTATATATAATATTTATATATAATACTTGAACAACAACCTTCACTTTATCCAGCAATAAATTTATAAAAACAAATATTTTTGAGTCATTTAACAACTCATCTTCAGATTAAAACATAGAGAATATAACTCACATGCAAATATTCCATCATATTAAAATAGACATTAATGTACAGTTAACAAAAATTTCTTACAAAGATAAATATAATTCAAATTAAAATTAAAAATAAATACAAATAATAGAAATAAGAATGTAACATAATAATAATATGAATAATATTTGCTAAACTATTAATGTTTCAATAAGAATTTCCATGTGTTGGAAATAGATGGCACATTTCTTATTATTGAAATCCTCTTTTATGCTGGCTTTGTATATCTCCAGAAACTCCATGAATTATGATATATTTTTTATTACAGATCAATAGCTAACAGATTCAATATTTATAAAACATTATTCAGCTATCTCAATAAAATTTATAATATTTTGTCAAACATAGCAAATAACATTATAAAATGGGCAAAAGAAGAATATGCTAATTTATCAAAAAAATTTATGAATACCTCTTAATACCAATACACCACAACAGTACTTGATCTATCCAGCAGCAGGTTACATCTCTGGAAAAACTAATATTTTTGAACTTCTAAGATCATTAGGTATTATAATGATTTAAAAATGGAACAGTCCAAAGATCAAGATGTAATTCAAATTCAAAAGTATCAATCAGATGTGTATAGATGGTTAATGTAATTTAATCATAAATATTTGTCATAATGCATTTACCAAGCATGAGAAATGCATTTCTATTCTTCAAAAATAATGCAGCATCCATG